AGCCTTAAAACGCTTTATCAGCAAATTTAATACCTACAGCAAAATTTACGGTAAATTTAAGACCTTACTTTCCGTGATTTCATTCAATTAAGATCTTTTAAGACTTTTTAAGGAGCCGCAGGAACCTTGAAATGTTAACATTACCTAAGCTAGGATGGTAACGGCCGTGGCATGGCACGTGCATTGAAGCAAAGTCGACAAGGTTATGCCTCAAATGTACCTACAATTTTGGGAACAGTCTAGCCAGCAACTCTGTCTCCAGTGTTGGGACTTTTTTCAAATAAATGGCAGACATATGGTTGCCTCAGAAGTTTAACCTACCCTTGCTAGCAAGTGAACAGTTGAGCAGGAAAATGTAATGTTAGGCCATACATGGCCATGCTTATGAATTTAATTTATAAGACTTTTGTTAGAATGACAGTCCACATGTTGCTTTTATTATTGGGAAAAGTTTTTTTTCCTTAAGTGCATGTATGTCAAGTATGTTTTGTATTAATTCATTAAGGGGAAGTAATAATTTTGTCAATGAAGTGTTGATTGTTATTCTTCAGTACAAAAGAAGTTTTGCATACCAGAAAAAGGATACAAATGTAATATTTTTTCTGTGCTACCTTGAAATAATGTAAATGCAAACCAGGAGACGGACGTACTTGTAAATACCAGAAAATTACAATAAACCTACTCCTAACTAATTTTCCATTTAATCCAACTGGTAAATTTCATCTTCAGTACACGTTTCATGACAGAAAAAACTGATAGATGTCCAACATTAGTGAAAAATGATTTATATAATGGTGACAGCACAAGCAGTGTCGTCATTTCCATAGTTGAAGGTAGAGGAGGTGTAACAGAGAGAAGTGAAAATCCAGAGCTGCAAGGAGACGGAGAGATTGAGGGAGGAGCTAAGCTGTTAGTGAACTATAGAAGAGAGAGGAACTTCCATATTCAGCAGAGTTCAATACACAAAGCAGAAACATTCCCTTTATTCAACATGCTGTCATTGGACTATTATGTACTTTCTCTACTGTTACTATCCATTCTAACAGGTACGTGAGATTATGCATTAAGTTTAATTTCAACAACATCTGAATGTGAATGATTTGTCTTTTAAAACATGAAGTTATCTCTTCCTTCAGGTGTCAGCTGTGAAGAACTCACTGCAGTCAGGAATGAAGAGTTCACTTTAGAAGGCAGCTCTGTTACTCTGTCCTACAAATACTCTAAAAAAGCAACTGGTAGTGATCGATTCTTCTGGTATCGACAACATCCAGGAAAACCACCAGAGTTCCTCATCTTTCACTTGGGAACACAAAATGCAACAAAATCTAGATGGTCTGCTAAAGTGAGTGATGATAAAACCCATCTGGATCTGCAGATCTCCTCTGCTGCAGTGACAGACTCTGCTGTGTACTACTGTGCTGTGAGGCCCACAGTGACAGGAAACACCAAAACTCTGTACAAAAACCTTTGGAGCAAAGACAACAGAATACTCCACAACGTCCACTAGAGGGAGTCACACACTGTTAAAATATTAAGTACTGAGCCACATTCATTTGACTGATGACAAATACAACAACAGAGAGGTGAAAATCCGAGGAGATGGAGAGATTGAGGGAGGAGCTAAGCTGTTAGTGAACTATAGAAGAGAGAGGAACTTCCATATTCAGCAGAGTTCAATACACAAAGCAGAAACATTAACCTTTTTAACATGCTGTCACTGCAGTATTTAGTTTTTTCTCTGCCGTTTTTTGTCATTTTAACAGGTATGTTACATTGATTATAGAAAAAAGTCTATTGTGACTTTTTTGGAAGTCATTCAATTACAAAGAACAGGAATTTTTGGTATGGTATAACAAAGTTATCTCTTCCTTCAGGTGTCGGGTGTGAAGAACTCACTCCAATCAAAACTGAAGAGTCCAATTTAGAAGACAGAACAGTTTCTCTGTCCTACAAATACTCTAAAGCTGCTACTTATACTGATTATTTCTTCTGGTATCGACAATATCCAAGAAAACCACCAGAGTTTCTCATCTTTCACTTGGGAACACAAAATGCAACAAGCTCTAGATGGTCTGCTAAAGTGAGTGAAGATAAAACCCATCTGGATCTGCAGATCTCCTCTGCTGCAGTGACAGACTCTGCTGTGTACTACTGTGCTGTGAAGCCCACAGTGACAGGAAACACCAAAACTCTGTACAAAAACCTGAAAGCTCCGCTGAAGATATACACATTTTAGAGGTCCTGCTTTCATTGAACAACAGCGCCATCAAGTGGACTTGATCAGCTTCAACACTGAAAATTCTAAATGCTTTTGCACATTTTTTTACTTGGACAAGATGTTGAACAATTTTTCCATTTCAAAACTTCTACACTGTTCATCATCTAGGTCCAGAAAGTATTTTACTTATTTACTTGTACTGTCTGATATGTGATTTACAGAATTGTGAATAACTAGTGGTGCAAAAACCAGCATTAGATTATTGGCCAATGTGAGTCACTCACACAGCCCATTTTCAACTGGTTCTTCTCACACCATAACTTAAACTTCTTGCAAATGGACACTTTTTCCTCTTCATTCTTGCATCTTTCCAGTCCCTTGGTCTTTTATCACAGTATGCATTATCTACCTATCTATATATAAAGTATACATGTTTTGATAGAGTAAATTCTCTGAAAATTTAGACTTTGTTTAGGGATAAAATAATCTGACAGTCACTTTTAGATATTTCATTTACTGGAATAACCAACAAATCAAAGATGTTCATCAACACATTGCCACAAAACAGTCTTGATGTTCATTGATTGCCAACGTCGCCCACAAGGGTCAAATAATACACAAAGATATTAATTAGATAAACACAGTATAAAAAGTATAGCAAGTTCTCAAATGTATAGCTTCCCATGGTAAATGTTCTCTACTGCCCACCCAAATAAATTTTTAAACAAATTCAAGTATTATTTTCTGATAATATTTCACTGCGGACGACAGACAATTTTGCAGAGATTTCCATTATACCATCTGTCTGAACACAGGGCAAATGTGAAAAGAATAAAAGAACAATCTAGAATATTTACAGTTGTTGGCGTTCCCATCTGTTTATTTTTTAATCTCCAATAGAATAAAAAATAAAAAAAAACCAAGATACTTAGCATTCACTTATCAGCCAGGCAAGGTAACTAGAAAGAAAGGTATGAATAAAAGCAGAAGTAGCTATCTGTGCGTAGTCCATGAATACAGCTGATGATAATCAACAGACAACCCATGTTCCAGTCAAAAGGAAACAGAGCAACAAGTTCCATTGATTGGGAGAAAAGCCCATCTCTGACTGAATTATACCTGCTCCAACACTGAGCAGACTGCAAGCTAAGGCTGCTCCTTCACACATCTCTTCTATCCATCATAAGCAAGCCATGAGTGATCACTGGTTACACCTGTCAACAGTTTGGCCACAGGCAGTGCAAATATTATTTGCCCAAAATGACTACTTTTCAGAAACTCACAAAACAGCTTTGTTTTCAGCATAGGGTTAGGCTGGGGGGCTTATCAGTATTTGCCCCAAGAAATACAGTATAAATAAATTTTCTTACCTCATTGTTGTCCAGTGACGGCCTTGTGGTTGAATTTGTACTTACCTTTCAGAGTGCAGAAGGAGTTCAAGCAGCCTACATTAGCAACACGCTACAGCAACATTCGGTGGTCTTTGTCACATGTCAGTGGCAAAACAACTTTTGAAACAACTTAATGGTCCTTGGAAACATTGAGCTGAAATGTCAGAACATGAAAGGCCTTGTGCTTCCAGTTGGCAGAACAAATGAGGAGCAACAGTTATGTCTTCCTTGTTAAATCTGACCAGAAAAATGCCAACAAGCAATAAATGTGGCTGTGGAATTGTCAATTTTCCAAATTGTCAAAAGAATTAATAACATTTAAATAATGATCTGATCACCCACATCATCATCATCTTCATTCCAGCAACATTTCAGTGGACAGTTTAAGTGCTCACACTGTATGACACTGTATGAAAACAACCTCAATCACAGCCACAAACAGAGCAGAAAGGCCATTTATCATGGCAAATCTGTGGCGAAAAAAACCCCTCAAAAATCAAACTACACTGTAGCGTGGTTAGCTCACTTGGTAGAGAGCCCTCTACTGCAGTGGCCCAGGTTTGAGTCCAACCTACGGCCATTAGCTGTATGTGACCCACTAAATCTCTCCCGTCCTGTTTCTCAAATAAAGACAAAATGCCCCCAAAAATATCTAAATAGAACAAAGACAAAACGGACTCCTACAGCAGTAGTTAAAGCCAAACGGTTCAAATGTAACTCAAGTTGTAAGAACAGACAGCTAAAACTCATCTCTCTAATGTCTTCATTATCTTAAGTGATCGCGTGATGTGACAGGTCTAACTACTTCAATTACAGCTAATCATAAACTGTTAATTAATGCAGTTAATTAATAATGAAGTGATTAAACTTAACACAAGCTCACAGCTTGCCACAAAACAACACATTAACACTAATGTGTACAAAAAATACAAGAGTAAAGAAATTTATTTTATTACCTTAAAGGCATCCTCAGTGACGGACAGTCCGGTTGTTGTACATCAGTAGTGAAAGCCAAACGGTTCAAATGTATAACTTACCTTACAGTTGTCCTCAGTGATGGACAGTCCAATATTAGTTAGCATTGTTGGCGCAGTCTGTGTTAGCGTTACAGAACCGCAACAGTACAGTAGTTAGATCAGTAGTGTAGCCACTGGCTACTCCTCAGGTGAACTGCATGTGCCAACAGAATAAACTCTGTTGCAGGAGGCACATAAAATAACAAAGCCGCAACCGAGAAGAGCACCGGGAGTGAAGTCGAGAGCAAACAATCTATGCGCACACACACAGAGAGATGGGCTTTTTTCAGAGAGAGAAATTGGGAGGAAATTTATTTATGCTTCTCCATGCCCATGTTTCCCTGATGCAAACATAGGTGAGGGAACACAGCCTCCACATCCCTTGTTCTCATCCTTTTACAATCCTTATTTATCTTAACACTTACTTGTAACGTCTTCTCTTCGCTACTTTTCACACAGCAATGATGTCCCAACATTTGGAATTGCTGTAAAAAACAAAACAATGTAACCACTGGGAAATCTTATTTTCATAAACAATATGACTTTTTTGTCCATTCACATTCAAGAACTGTGATTGAAGTTATCATTTACCTTTGTTTTCCAGCAGGGTCTCTGACAGAATCTCTTTACTGGACCTGCGTGCTGCGCAAAAAGTAAGAAAAAATGTCCAAAGACACTTTAACAGCAGCAGTATTTTACACAAGAAATACAAGAGTATAATCAAAATGTTCTCACCTTAAAGTCCTGCAGTTGCCTTTGGCTTGAATTTGTACCTTAGTGACGAAGCAGTTCAACATTAACCAACATCGTGGTGGAACAGTCTGCGTAACCAGAAGGTTAGATGCAGTAACATTATCTTGATGTGTCCCTGAAATATTCTAGCTCTGTAGAAAAAAAACTTTAGGTTTAAGGTAAAAATTCGCTGAAATGTTCAATTCTCAAAGATGAAATCCTTCTGTGTCTGGTTAGCAGGAGGAGTAACAGGCTTCTCTTATCGAATCTGAACAGAAAAAAATGCAAAACGCTGTAAAATGATCAACTTTCCAAAGTCCTTATCGAAACACTTTGTGTCCTCTCAAGATCATTTTTGGTTGTACAGAGATAGTTAGTGCCCAGCAATTCAAATTTAGCTCAGACAGACAGCTAAAACCCATCCTAATAATCACTTCATTATCATAACAGCAACGTTACAGAAATGGCTTTAGAAATCGCATTACATGCCAGATCTAACTACTTCGGTGACAGCTAATCATAAACTGTTAAAAAACTTTAATAATTATTAAATAAATTCAAAGTGATTAAAAGTGGCCTAAAGTGCACTTTACACAAGATCACTGCTTGCCACAAAACAAGCAGTAACACTAATATTTGTACAAGAAGCAACAGTAAAAAATGTATTTACTTACCTTACAGGTGTCCTCAGTGATGGACTGTCCAATGTTTAGTTAGCATTTTGCTGGCGCAGTTAGCTTTACATTACGGTAATGCAACAATACAGTAGCTAGATCAGTAGCGTAGCCACAACAAATAACTTTGGCTACGCATTAGAATAAACTCTGTTGCAGGAGGGACATTACTGGCCTGCATTCCAGGTACGTCTTGCAATCCGCAACCGAGAAGAGCAGCGAGAGTGAGGTCGAGAGCACACAACCTGTGCACGCACACACAGACCGCCTTTTTCCATCCTTATTTATCGAAGACAGACTTACTTGTAACTTCTTCTCTTCACCAGTCTTCACACAGCAACAATGTCCAGACATTTGGAATAGCATCTGCTAAAAAAAAACAAAAAAAACACAACAACAACAAATGCACCCACTGTGAAATCTTATTTTCATACACAATATGATCTCTGTACGATAAGATTGCTTACAGGGACATAAAGTTAAAAAAAGTTCTGCCATCTGAGAACATTACTGCCACACTGATAAATGCAAAGAAATATATTATGTTATAAAAATGATACTGTCTTAAAAAACTGTCATTCATTATGAATTCAGTTTAAATGCTTCAAAAACAGGAGTTGATCTACATAAATATTTTGCCAGCAGAATATTCAGTATGTCTGTCTTTGCTATCTCAAACAGAGATACCAGGTAAGCAAGGTCAGATTTAGTCATTTTGGGGCCTGAGGCAAACCCAGGCATGGGGCCCTCCACGTTGCTGGTTCTCCCCCTTTTTCAATCCTTATATATCCTTATCTAAGAAAGACTTACTTCTCTTCAGTCTTCACACAGCAATGATGTCCAGACATCTGGAAGTTCATCTGTAAATAAAACAAAGAAAACAAGAAATGCATGATGAAACCTTATTTTCATACACAATATTATAATGGTGTGGTGCCGCCATTCACACTCTTATTGCTTGCATCATCTTGTCACAAGATCTCTGACGTAATTGCTGACATAATCTGCACTCTGCGCATGCGTTGGCGTCTGTAGCCACCTGTCGGAAGCTCCGTCTTAAACCGGACTCTTATCCAGTTTTAATCCACTCTTTTTTTCCGTTACATTTTTTATATCCTTTTTATTTAACTTAACTTTATTTAAGTTTTACGTGGGTTAAGGATTTTAGTCATCCGACATGGATTTTAAGCTAGATGACCGTAAAAACGCGATCAACGCTACTGACCACAACAAAGCTCCGGTGACTATGCTAGCCGAGATAACTCTGCCCCATGAGGACTGCTCACTCCTTAAGAAAGCGAACAAGAAGATTGCTGACCTTATGGAAGACATCCGACGACTTTCAGAGGAACTCAAAGAGAAAGATTCCCTGCTGACTGGTTTATGGATGTAGCTTCAGTACAAGCCAAACAGATTGTTTCTCTTAGCACAACCGCTAACATCCAGGACACAGTGTTTTGGGACCCCTCTAGTCTTCCCAGGCTTTCATCCTGCTCGACTCCGAAGCATCAGTCAACCTGGGCTGAAGTGGTGGTCCGTGGCTGCAAGAGAGGCTCGGATGGGGCTGCCTCTCCTCCGGACATCGGCCTCTCCAACCGCTATGCAGCCTTGTCTAACGACACTCCGGTCCATCCAGCTGATGCACCTGCGGCTTCGAGTCTCCCTGATACGGATCTCTTTCGGCGCACAGTGCCTGCCGACACTGTTGCATCTCCTCCACCGGCTACATCTCCTGCACTGGGCCGCCGGTCTGCCACTGGGCCTGATCGGCCGCCGTCATCCCGGTCAAAAACCTCCGCTTCCCGACGTAGGATCCTTAAGGAGGCTGTGCTCAGACGCTCCGGAGGCCGTCTCTACCCTGCACCGTCAGGTAGCCCTTCTCTCAGGTCCGTTACTGCTACTCCAACACAACACTCAACAGCTCACACACTCCATCCTCAGTCCGCACGCAGTGTTGAAGCAAATTCTGCTCAGTCCTGCTCTGGAACCAAACAACCGGCATCTCCTCGTCCTCTTTTCTCCCCAACCACACTAATAATTGGTGACTCCATAACCAGAAACATCCGTTTCTTTAACGCTACCACTCACTGCTTCCCCGGTGCCACCACGGCTGTCATTTAAAAAAACTCCAGGACCTGATGCCGTCGCTCCCGTCCTCCATCACAAGAGTGATAGTCCATGTCGGAACAAATGACACAGCTCTTCGGCAGTCTGAGCTGACAAAATCAGATTTTAACCGTCTTCTTAACTTTTTAAAGCAGTGTGGAAAGTCCGTTTTTATCTCTGGTCCCATTCCCACAGTTGGTCGCGGTGCTGGCCGCTTCAGTAGACTCCTTGGCCTCCACGACTGGCTCCAGTCCGCCTGCAGGGCTCACCGTGTGTTTTATGTGGATAATTTTAATATTTTCTGGCAAAGAATGTCTCTTTTTAAGACAGACGGACTTCACCCAAACAAACGGGGCTCAGAAATGTTAGCTGCGCACATACAGCATGTGGTGCGGTCCACACATGACTTACGTGAATGACTAATCATTCATGCAGCACACCTGGACACACCACCGGTCACTGAACAGATCTCTGCCTCACTGCCACAAACAACTGTCTCCACCTGCTGGCATGTAAAGCCGTCTGCTCCCAGCGCTGTTCCACAGACTTCTATTCCTGTCATCATCACGCATAGACCAGTAAACCGAAATGTGCACATCCCACACAGAAATATTAGTAATCTCTTAGGATTAGGACAACTGCACCAACTCCAGCACCCGAACAAACTCATTTAAAATGGCTCTCTTCAATGTGAGATCACTTTCAAGTAAGACTTTTATCTTAAATGATTTTATCTTGTCTGCAAATCTAGATTTTATGTTTTTAACTGAATCCTGGTTGCAGATGAATGACTATAGCCAGCTAGCTGAACTGTGTCCGCCTCAATATGATTGCTTTAGTCAACCGAGGGTCAGTGGTCGTGGTGGTGGGCTAGTGAGCGTGTATAGGAAAAATTTTAAATGTCATCAAGTACGCTGTGATGAATTTAACTCCTTTGAAGTTCTCACTCTTAAAGTTGGAGGGCTGCAACCTATCATATTTGTTATAATTTATCGCCCCCCAAAACCGCCTGGAGGATTTTTATCAGAACTTCCTGAATTTTTATCTACTCTGGTTTTAAATTATGACAGAATTGTTCTTTGTGGCGATTTTAATATTCATGTTGATGACCCCACAATGTTAATGCAACTGACTTTTTAAATATGGCCACTTCTTTTAACTTCAAACAACATGTCAAAGGCAAACACATAACCGTGGTCATACACTGGACTTGGTTTTTACCCTGGGTGTCAGCATTTCCTCTGTGGAATTAGTGGACATGACCATATCTGACCACAGATGTATTGTTTTTAGCTGTGATTCGCCTGTTACTCATGCCGCCTCACCAAGCTCCGTGTGTTCTCGCATCTTTAACGAACAAAGTGTTTCAAAGTTTTGCGCATTCTTTCAGAGCCAAAGCCAACACCTGTCTGATTCCAACACCAACAATCTGGTCGATCACTTCAATCATATCTGCTTGTCGTCACTAAATATTACTGCTCCTCTAAAGGTTAGGCCTACGTCTAAAGCTAGTAAGCAACCCTGGATAAATGACAGCATTCGCAGCCTCAAAAGGGAATGCAGGAAAGCAGAGCGCAGATGGAAAAAATCCAGTCTCCAAGTCCATTACCTCAGTCTGAAGGATTTATTAATTAACTACAATAAAATGGTTAAGGATGCGAGAACACACTATTTTTCTGAACTCATTACTACACATAAACACAATCCAGGTTTCTGTTTAAGACTGTGGATCAGCTGGTAAACCCAACCCCTCCTTGTGCCTCAGCTGGAAGTAATCATGACTGTGAATTGTTTTTATCTTATTTTACCAATAAGGTGGTGTAATCAGAGCCTCTATTACCCCCGCGCCTCTTACTCAGAGGTCCTCACCAGCAACAGAAGAGTTTTAACCAGTTTTATCCCATCGACTTGTCTGAGCTTTTAAAAACAGTATCACAAATGAGAGTGTCCTCCAGCCCACTTGATATAATACCTACAAAATTTTTACTGAAAGTAATAGATTCTGTTGGGCCCCATTTGATCTCTGTGTTCAACAGCTCCCTATCTACTGGTTGTGTCCCTGATTATTTTAAAACGGCTTGCGTGAACCCACTTTTAAAGAAACCTGGTTTAGATCCCTCCCTCCCACATAATTTTAGACCAATTTCAAAACTGCCTTTTATTGCAAAGATTCTAGAAAGAATTGTGTCCAAACAGCTGCTCACTGTGCTGGAAAATAACAAATTATTTGAAAAGTTTCAGTCTGGTTTTAGGAAGTACCACAGCACTGAGACTGCCCTGCTTAAAGTCACCAATGACCTTTTAATGTCTGCTGATGAAGGCATGTGCTCAGTCCTTGTACTCCTGGACCTTAGCGCTGCTTTTGACACCATTGATCACAACATCATGTTAGACAGACTGAGGCACTGGGTGGGGATCTCTGGTACT